TAAATAAAAAAGAGAATGTGGGATGGTGGATTGTAGATCAGTGGCACAGTGCCTGCCTGGCACGCACAAGGCCCTGAGTTCGATTCCCATACCCCCCACCTCCCCACCCCTGCCAAAAGATAATGTGTTGGCCTGATCTCTTATTAATGCTTAACCTATTCTGGGTATCAGAATCCCAATATTTTTTACTTCTCCAAGGTGGGAAGTTCTAGTATCTGTTATGCCAGTAAAGCATAAAGTGACTATGATTTTTATTTTTGAAACATCATAAAATAATACTAAAAACCAAAGGCATCTCAGGTATTAAACAGTCCAGTGGACCCTAACCCTAGCTGAGCATCCAGATCAATGCTAAGCAATGGGCATATTACTGTGCACCTGTCCCAGCAAGTTTGCATCCAGGCTGAGCAAAATAGCAAGACTGCCTCAACAACAATAAAAAATTAATCCTAAAGATGCAGATTCAGTAGATACAAGACAGGGGTATGGAATCTGCATTTTGTAAGACTCTTTAAGCAATTCTAGCCAAAACTGGAAGTGAGAAGAAATGAGTGAACTTCCCTGGAATGCAAATACAGTACCTTCTCAAATGGCAAAGTATCCTCCCTGTTTGCAGACAATGAATTTAACCATACACAGAAATGTGAATGAAAATACAAAGCCAGTATTTGAGCATTCTAATCATAGGAAAAACAGACTAAGATTCTTATGAAAGGGTACCATTTCTTACCTTCTCTCAAATAGCTAGCTCTTTTCTAAAGCTAGCAACCTCAAGTTTGGGTAGATTGAATTTAACGTTTTTACCTATGACCTAACTGTTCAAGGCAGCTACCAAAGAGTTGCAAAGAAAAGGTAAGAGCTTTTTGTATCTTCTTCACCCACCAAAAAAAGCCAAAGCCTGAACTTTTAAAATTCAGTATTAAAAAGTTTGGTTGGAGCTAGTTAGGATTCAATCCTGAGAAAGAACAAAGGAAATAGTTAAGTATTCCATATGATATATATATATTGAGACAGGGTCTTGCTATGTAATCCAGACTGGCCTGAACACCCAGCAATCCTGCCACAGCCTCCTGAGTGCTATTATTACAGGCATGCACCACCATGCTAAAGTCTGAAGCAAAGGGTGCCAAGTGATCCTACAGATTATATCTTCAGAACCCCCAGCTACACTGGCAGGCAGCCACCTGTATGGTGAAAAGGGACTGTCACTGTATTAAGGATACTAAGAAAATAAGCTCAAGTAAAAGAAATTCTCATGGTTACCCTCCCACCTAGTTTTTAAGGGAATAACTGTGGGCAAGAATAAGATAATAACTATTTACTTACCAATTTGAAGCTACAAAGGTAAAACATGAAAAACTGTACATGGCAGGAGGCATGGGTGGGCAACAGGAGTTTGTCAAAGATGGCTATCAAATCGCGATATAAATCCTTTGTTTTGTTGTTATCGATCTTACCTACAGAGAAAATTTGACATGTCAGCTCTGTCAACAGCTATTTTCAAGCTACCACTTTCATTTGGTAATTTAAAAAAAAAGAATATAATACTATTAAGATACATGGCATTACCTACTAGGCTCTGATTAAAACAAAATGCCAGCCAGACTGCACAAGTATAATAACCTAGCAAGACTGTCTCAAAACATCAAGGCTGGGGATGTACCTTGGTGTGAAGGCCCTGGGTTCAATCCCCAGTACAACAGCAACAACAATAAAAAGTGTAATCACCCAGTACTGACAAGGAAGCAAGCAGACCGTCACTTCACACACACAGTTGTGAAGCTATAAATCTAGATATTTTTAAAGGGCAACTTTATAATTTATGAAGCAAAGGATCTTTGATAGAGTAACTGTACTGCCAGGAATTTATCACAAGGAATTAACTGAAGATAGATGTATAGGATTTCATCATGTTGTTATTTAGAATAGTGATAGAGACCAATTAAATCCATATGGTCAATAAAAATTACTTTAGGCTAGGCATAGGGACACGTGCCAGTAACCCCAGGTATTTTAGGAGGCGGAGGCATGAAGATTACCAGTTGAGGCCAGCCTGGGCAACTTATTGAGACCCTGTGATAAAATAAGTGTGAGATGTAGTTCAGTATTAGAGCACTTGCATGGCAAGCATGAGGCCCTGGGCTCAATCTCCAACACTGGGGATTAAAAAAAGACCACTGTTTTACCACAGTGAACCATGAGAATATAGTCACAATTCATGTAAAAGTCAGATTATGAAACACTATTTAGTTGTGACTCTCAAATCCAGAAGATTTATCTGGGACTAAGAATGTAGCTTAATGGTAGACCACTTGCCTAACACGCACAAAGCACTAGGTTTGATTACTAGCACCTAAGTGTCAATAAAGTCATACACAAACACATGCTAACAGAAAAGGAAAACACATCAACATGCTAATGATTCTTTGACTAGTAGGAATGTGGTCATTTAAATTATCCTTATCCTTTCCTATACTTGCCAAATTTGTCTAATCAACATGTCTTATTTTTTAAATATCAAAACAGTTAAAATGAGTAGTAGGATCAACAGATTCAAGTCTTCTTATGCCAAATAACTAGCCTCATTCTTAAATCTTAACAAAGTACACGGACAAAAATTTTGTATATTTTTCATGGCAAAGTATCTAGACTGTTTCATGAGGGCAAGAAGCACACTAGGTTCCCTTTTCCAAGTAGTTTGTTCAGAACGGTCCCAACACCTAGCATTACAATGGTACCAATAGAGATCCTCTAAATATGTTACACCATGGACTATACTGCAGTGCCTAAACCACGTCTTGAGCAACTTAAGTATAATTTGGCTTCTGTTCCAAACTGACCAAACTCTATAATCTTTTAATATAGTAATGAAACGATCAGAGGCTTTGACAATAAATATTACTGAGTCTCAATACCAGCCCCACCATTTTCAAGCTGTGTGATACTGGCAAGTGAGCTGATCTCTCTAAACCCTTTTATTTCTCTCATACTAGATTTTTATTAGTACTAGAAATCACAAACAGAAGATGCCCAGCACAGAGCCCACGTTAGCTACTGAGAAGATGATAATAGGTTGTTACCATCCACATAGCAGACATCCTTGATATAGGACAAAAGCAAGGACAGCAGGATGTCCAGGCGTTCAGCTACATGATGGACCATCTGACCAAGCCGCTCAGGACTATCCTTTGTTTCGTGTTCGGTTTCTTCATCTTCATCCTTTCAAGAAGTAAAGTGACATTTAAAAATTCAGTAAAAGTGATTTAGTAGGAAAATCCTCACAAGTAATTATTTTCTCTGCAAGAAAAGGGAGAAAATACATAGATATGTTCCTAGGTAGGGGCTCTCATTCAGGGATGTGAATCAGAACTACATGTGAAATTTAACATAAAATTCAGAGCACCAGCTTGATTGATTCTAGCTTTTTTGTTATTTCTGAGATTGAACCCAGGACCTTGCACATACTAAGCCTGTGTTCTAGCCCTGAGCTAAAGCCGTAGCCTGGATTCTCATTTGAAAGATCTCAGAACTGATCACCCAAACATCATATTTCCCTTGTCCCTGCTCCTGGTGCCCACTGTGGTGCTGGGTTCCCTTTCCTAGGTCAGGTTATCAATCATGAGGTTGCTGTGAGTGTTGGTTGCCAAGAACCAGCGGGTGTCCCCCCTTGTCCAGTAGTAAAGGAGCCAAGACTGTCCTGACTGACTCACAAGGGGTAAGAAGAACCTATCTCCCTGGTTTCAAGCTAGGATCAGTTTTAAGAGCAATCCATGTTCCAGAGCAACTCACAGGATCAGACATTGCTGCTCGCCAACGGAGACCAAGCCCTCGCCTAGCTTGTTCCCCTGCCCTTTGCTGCTCCTTTACACACTCTGTCCCACGGAACACTTGAAGACTTAGGCTCTCCATCAACTGAACCCATCAGCACTCAGCTCACATCCAGGATGGAAAAGTGCTGCCTTAAGTTATTCAACTGGCAAAACAAAAGCTAAACTACTGTGGTTTTTCTATTTACCACCTGCTCCAACATAAACACTGAAAAAATGATATGAATGAAAATTGGCTGGGCATAGTGGTGCACGCCTATAATCCTAGTGCTCAGGAGGCTGAGGCAAGAGGATCGCAGTGAGTTTTAGGCCAGCCTAGGCTACATGGTGAGTTCAAGACCAGCCTGAACTACAAGAGGGAGACCATGTCTAAAAAACCAAAACCATCCCCCTAAAAAAGAATGAAAATGAAGCATATTTCACCAATCCTAATTCAAAGCCCTGAATACAGGGTTTTTTTTTATACCAGGACTTGAACTCATGACCTTGTGCTTGCCAGGCAGGCACTTAAGCCACTGAGCTATATCCCTGGCAAAGCCCTGAATATAAACTAATTGTACTGGGCAGTAAATAACATGGCAGCAGAAGTATTCGTGTAAGGAATTATTTTCCAGTTTGCTAAACTATTTTAACTACTGAAAAAGGTAAGAAGCCCTATGGAAAGAGATTTTTCCATACTCTGAAATGATGAACTTCACAGACACAGAAATGCTAACCATATTAAACAAGCCTTCCACAGAACCTGTCCCGCCACAAGCTTGAGCTGCTGTCTCCTCAGCATCTTCAATATCTTGCCTTGATGCATTCACCTACAATATAATAAAATAGTAACAATCAAAAAATAAGTAATGAAGGCATTTAAAATATAACTATTTGAGGGCTGGAATTCATAAGCCACACATACTTCAAAGGCATCCACATTAGTACCTTATACAGCACAATTATAGTACAAACCTATAGCAATTTGCATCATGATGGAATTTCAGTATAAATATTACATCATATCTAGTATTAAATATTACAGCCCATGCCTCTTTTACTGTATACTTAAATAAAATCAATGTAAACTGTGACAATAAACTCTAGTATGTGTGCTGCTGAAACGAGCACTGTGACAGTATACTCTAAATCAGCCACAACATAGCCAACATTTGACCTCTGTCTATGCTCAAAACACATACATGTTTTACAAGGCACATCATCAACCATCAGAGTAGAAAAACAGTAACATACAAGCGAAATGTGAATGATTATGTATTTACCACACTTCATATACCTCACTTTAACATACTGTTCAAATCATGTCTTTTTAGACTCTCTACACATGATCTTTGTAGGCATACTTTAAAATATAGCAGAGAAAGACTACAAAGATTACATATCAGTAGGCAGAACTCCAAGGGGAAGTGCCTGCATATCCAACTTCCAGCTCTTCTGACCTGCCTTTTTCCACCTTCCAGCTCTCCGACAGTAAAAATGTTTTTCTTCACTAAATCTTTGATCTCCCCATGCCACCAACCTGCTCAAGTCTGCCCAGTTCTAATCCACGTTTCTGTCACCCCTGCTCCGTACCCTTTCCTTACTGGCAACACTCAAGGAGGTCTCGCCTAACCCTACTTCCTAACCATCCACACTGTCTTCCGGAAATAAAGTCTCAGTCTCTTTAGTGACAAGGCCTTCCAGAAGGCACCAAGCACCACCTTTAATCACCAAATCCAAGCATTCTGCTTTTCTCAATCATCTTCAAAATGTCAGCAATATGTGATGGGGCTACAGAGACCATTCTTCAGATTCTCCTGTAACATTCACATTTGCTTTCCTCCACTTTCTGACCACCCTTCCCCTCCTCTGGCCTAACCTGCATGGTTCCTGTTCTCAGTTCCTCACCTGCAGCTACAACCACCTGGTGAGTATTCTTCAACTTGAATCCCTATCAGCAACTCAACTGCCTAGGAAAGAACATGCATCTTCCAACCTCCTCCTCATGATGTTTCTTTGCTGTTAATGGAAACACCAAGACTCTATTCCACAGATAACTGTAAGATTTCTTTTCCTTACCCTTTGCATCTTCACTTCCAACTCGGTCTTAAGAACCAGTTCACCTTTCCTCCACAATGTCAATAGACTCCACCTTTCATACCCTCCAAGCCTCTTACTGCAGGCCTCTTTAAACAGTGTCCACTTCTTCATCATGTGCACTTGCTAACTCCCAGCACACACAGTTTAGGAAATGTTACATGAAGCAAGTAATACTGAAACTGTATTCTTTTGCATTGTTGCTACCGTTGTTTCACATACTATAATTACAACATATACATTCAACAAGTGAAAATCGGGAAGAAAAAATAGATTATTCAATACTTACATCCAACTTGAGTAGCTTTTCAATAACAAGTTCTAGAATTTCATGCCTTAAGGTTGGAAAATAGACACTTATCCTTAGTAAATTATGAACGTAACATTCCTAAAGCAAAAAATATAAAAAAGTAAGTGTTTTAGCACAGGTTTCATCATTATACAAGCAAAGTATTAATTATGTAGTTAATTTTTTTGTTTTTGAGACAGGGTCTCACCATGTAGTTCAGGTTGGCCCTGAATTCACTATGTAGCCCAGCCTAGTTCCAAACTCATGGTGATGCTCCTGTCTCAGCCTCCCAAGTGCTGGGATTACAGGCATGGACCACCACACCTGGCTAGAGTTTAAATAAAAATTACCCAGCAATACAGAAAATGTATTGCTTCTAGATACTATTTCAGTGTAATTCCTTCAATTATCAGCAATAAATTAAACTTGTAATTTATGTATTTTTACACTTTTAAAAACAGCTTGAGTTATAATTCACATACCGTACAATTCATCCATTTAAAGTGTACAACAGGCTGGCCGTGGTGGCACACACCTGTAATCCCTACACTTGGAAGGCTGAGGCAGGAGGATTGTTGCAAGTTCAAGGCCAGCCTGGCCTACAAAGTGAGTTCAAGGCCAGCCTGGACTCACGTAGCAAGACCAGTAGCCATCTTAAAAACAAAACAAAATCGATGCAGCCCCAGGAAGCCCTGAATTAATGTTGTTTCTATTAATTTTTCTATGTTACACATTTCCTATAAATGGAATGTGATCTTTTAGCATGATTTTGAGGTTATGTTACAGTATGAATTTATTACTGACTAGTTATTTATTATATAGATATATCATGTTTTGTTTATATCATCTACAGTTAATTATTAAGAAAGTGTGAGTTTTTGTGTAGATATGTATTCATTTTCTTGGGTGTGTACATACCGGTAGAAATATTAATTTAAATTGTACATTTAACATTTCTGAAGAACTGCCAGAGTTTTCTGAAATGGCTGCATGATTTTACATTCTTACCAATGAAGATTCCAGTTCCCTCACATCCTAGCCATCGCTTGTTATTGTCTTTCCTTTGGGCCTTAGCTATTAGATGTGAAGTAGTTTAGATTATCAATTCATTGTGGTTTTGATTTCTAGTTCCCTGATGGTTAATGATGTTGAATTTTTCATTTGCTTATTTTGGAGAAATGTCTATTTAGATCCCTTACCTATTTTAATTGGGTTATCTACTCTTATATTATTGAGTTTTAAGATTTTTTACAGATAGTTCTTTATCAGACATATGATTTACAAAAATTTTTTCCCATTATTTGAGGTATCTTTTCAGTTTCTGAAGGTGTCTAAGAAGCACAATAGTATTTAATTTTAAAGTCCAATTAATCTATGGTTGATTGCTTGTGCACTGTTACATCTAGAAGTTACTGCCTAATCTAATCATGAAAACTTACCCCTATGCTTTCTTCTAAGAGTTTTATTTAGCTCTTACATTTAATATTTCCATCCATTTTTGTTTTTCGAGACAGGATCTTGCTGCGAGTCACCACACCCAGCTCTTTCATCCATTTTGAGTTCATCTTTGTATACAGATATCCATACACTTATTTTATTTGGCAGAACTGGGGACAGAACCTGGCACCTCAAACATGCCAAGCATGCCTGTAACTGCATCTATTCAGGAGGCTGAGAGAGGAGGATTGCAATTTCAATGTTAGCCTGGGCAAGTTAGCAAGACCCTATCTCAAAATAAAAATTAAAAAGGGCTAGGGATGTAGTTCAATGGTAGATAGTCCCTGCATCATTCAAGCCCCAGTACCATAAAAACAGAAAAAAGATGTTTTACATGTAATTTTGTTTTTCATAGATGGGGATGGAATGTAGGACGTCACACATACTAGGCAAGCACTCTTAACAGTAAACCAAATCCCCAGCTCATTACTGAATTTGTATACTGACCTTACATCCTATAACCATGCTGAATTTATTAGCTTTCATAGGCTTTTTGTGGATTCCATAACATGTAAAACTATGTCATCTGCTAAAGTGTTTTATTTCTTCCTTTGTATTCGGATGCTTTTAAAATAATTTTCTGGCATAAAACCCCTGGCTAGAAAGGTGGCAAGAGGAGATATTCAATGGCATATGCCTGTAGGCCAAGCTACTCAGGAGGCTAAAGGCCAAGGATACTCAGGTCTAGTTCAAGGCCAGTTTTTTAAACAACTTTTTTTTTTGCTTTCTGAGACCGAGTCTTTTTCTGTAATTCAGGCTGGTCTTAAACTCACTATGTAGCACAGGCTATCCTTGAAATCACAGCAGTTCTCCTGCCTCAGCCTCTCGCATGCTGGGATTACAGGCATGCACCACCATGTCCAGCCAAGGCAAATCTTTATAATAGTGAGACCTCATTCCAGAAACCAATAAAAACTAGATATCTTTGTTTTGTTATCTTAGGAGAAAGATTTTAGTCTTACACCACTGAACATATTACTTTAAGTTTTTCATAGATGCTCTTTATCAGCAGTTCCCTTGTACTTTTGTTCTGAAAGGGTTTTAGTATTGATCAAACACTTTTCTTAGGTGATCATGTGGACTTTGTCCTTCATTCTATTGACATGGTATACGTTCACTGATTCTTAGGCATTAAATTAAACTTACATTGCTAATATCTAACTTAGTCAAGGTGCTTTATTCTTTTTTTTTGTTTTTAAGGTACTTGATTCTTTTCATATGCTGAGATGCAGTTTTTTAGTATTTGTTCAGATTTTCTGCCTGTATTTTTATAAGCAATACACTGGTTTATAATCCAGTTGAAGCATATTATCCAAAATATTAATGTGAGTTACTAACTCCTTAACACACTGTACATGTAATACCTTACTTAGGGAAACATATATGTTTAGAGGTAGCCACTATCAGTTATTGAAAGCTACAAAGATAATACAAATATTGCACAAAAACTTAAGCAGAATTTATACAATGATCTGACTTCATGTTCAAATAACACATTTATAATTAGCAATATATGAATGGTTATCTTCTAGTAATTCTTATCTGGGTAAGCATTAAGCCTCTAAAGATATTTCTGAAATGGACTAATCATGACTCGCACATAGTAATGAGGGGAAAAAAAAGGCACTGGGAATCCCCAAGAGTCACCTGCTAAGAATGTAATCGGAGTCAAATTCTTTTTTTTTTTTTTTTTCTGAGACAGGGTCTTGCAATTAGTTCAGATTGGCCTCAAACTCACGGCAATCTTCCTGCCTCAGCCCCTCAAGAGCTGGGATTACAGGCGTGAGCCACCATTCCTGGCTAGAATCAAATTCTTCACCTTGAATTTAAAATCTAGAAAATAACTTTTCAAAAAAAGACCAAGACTATTTGAAAGAAAGCACAAAACAATATTTCCATTATCTCTCCCATGAAAAAATTTCTTACCAAGGTTCTTTCTGATTTTCTAACAAACGGAAATTTTTCTACCAGTATTGGCATAAGAAACCATGGTGTCCTATTAAAAAAAAAGAATCCATATTAACTAGATTTTCCAGGAAGATATGACTTCCACTCTAAGAGCAAACACAGATAGATACAGGAGGCAACCCAAAATCTCTATGATAAGCAGCTGAAAGTTAAATGTGTAATGTCAGAGAAAATCTGTAATAGCTCAGAGGAAAATAAGCTTTACTGACTTTGATACTTATAACAAATCAAAGGGGAACAAATTTTCTACAAAAATTTAACAGAACTTTAGTTTAAAAGCTAAGCATTTCCCACACCTATATGATTTTTTTAAAAGGAGGGAATCATCAACTTGGATTTTTTTTGGGTTAACAAACCTACAGAGGAACTAGAAGTCCACCCCTCCAAAGAAACTCACAAACCTGCAAAGCCTTTCTTAGAACTGCAATTTTTATTCATATGGCATGACACAAATTCATATGGGGTTTCTCAGTGAAAATATTTGTATATCATATCTGCTGAAGATAAAAGCAAAATTCTAACCACTATATAAAACTAGGGAGATCTACATATAAATTCAAAATAATTAAAGATAATGAATAGAAAACAGAAACATCTTTTTTTGGTAAAGTTTGATGTTTCATCAGTACAATGCTAGAACATAGCAATAACCTAAGTATTGACAGTATGAACATTTTATAATTATCTACTAATAAATGATAATTGTTGTAGTGCTTCAGATTGAACTGAGGGCTTTGCACATGCTAGGCAAGCACTCTACCACTAAGGAATAGCCCCAACCTGATTATAATTTTCTTAAGAAAAACACAACATAATTCAAAGTAACAAACGTATACTCACGATGGGACATATCTTGCTATTATTTGCAAGGCTCTGTGACATGTGTCAAAATTTGCAGGAAGATCTATAAGGAGAAAGTTCAGAAAGCATAAATATCAAAACAAAACTGAAAACTGAAAAATCATGTGTTTGAAGCTAGAAACACTTGCTAACCAAAACAGAATAATTTCTTAGAGAAATAATTTGAAGTTTTTTTCTCTACAACTATCAAAAAGACAAAATAGACTAATTATATTAGTAATACATTATTGCAACTGTACCTTTAATGCTAACTGTACCATAGAAACTCTACCGAAAGTTATCATTTGTTGCCATTTACTTATTATAACAGGTATCAGTATATTTTATCATTCAGCACATACTCTCTAGACACGGGAGGACTTCTATGCTTTAATTCTTTTATACTTACTATCATCTTCATCATCAGAATCTGAAACATCTATGTCACCTTCCTTAATGATCACTCGGGCTTTTGGGGAGAAAAAAAATGTTATTCTTCTGGACAATGAACAAATACACAAGAAAAGCAGTTTTTTCATAGTCCAAACTCAATATAATGAGTATATTTCTGGGGCTTGGGGGTATAACATGGTAAGTTTTTAAACTGATAGAAGTTCCTAGATAAGTTCTAAGACTGTTAGAGGCTCAATAAAGCGAACTGAGGGGTAGGTGATACAGCTCAGCAGCATAGCACCAGCCCAACAAGCACAAGGTTCTCAGTTTGATTCCTACTACTAAAAAAAAAGCAAATTACAGTCCACCAAAAATCAATAATAAATTTAAACTAGCTATAAATGCATCTAGATACCTCCCTAGGGGAAAGATGTCTACCAGAATGCCAACATGCATCCCCAGAATCTTCCATGTGGCAAAAATCTCCAAATTAACCAACTTCTTTGAGTAAAGAAATTTAAAAAACAAGAAACAAAAACACCATATGGATGCCCACTTCTTCCTGCCTGTGATATCCTGTGCTGCCTCCGCACTCTGCCAGCAGGGTGGCCATTACCAAGTGTGGTCCCTTGATCCAAGAAATAAGCCAAAATATACCTCTTTTCTTTATAACAAGAAAAGGAGAGCAGAAGGGGAGAAAAAGGGGAGGGTTGGAGACAAAAGTGAAAAAAAACAAATCACTTACGAGGTACAAAATGAGAAGTAATCATGCTGAGACATGGCCTAAGGAAGACAGTCTGTGCTGACACTAGATTACCAAGAAAAGCCAAATACTCCTCCACCACTGTTTGACTTCTGTTCAACCAAGGCAATCTCTAGTTGGGAGAAGAGGAACATTTCACCGACATAAACTATTTTCAAAGTACTAAACCTCCTACTAGTCATTGAAATAAACAATGAACTTACCAACAAAATGCTGATAAGCTGCTCAAAGTCTTTTGTCAAGTACATGATAGAAGAGCGGAATTCTAGCAGCCAGTTAATGATCTGGTCATCCTTAAATTAAAGAAAAGCACTTTCAAAATCACAAATCCTCTGAAATAACAGAAAATAATGTATCTGTTGGGTGGCACATGTCGATAACCTCAGGTACATGGAGACTGAGGCAGAAGGATCACAAATTCAAGGCTAGCTTGGGCAATTTAGCAAAACACTGCCTTAAAATTTTAAAAAATCTAAGCCAGGCAGAGAGGCACATTTCTATAATCTCAGCCCTTGTGACTTCAAGGCCAGCCAGGATTACATGGTAAGTTTAAGGTCAGCCTGCACTAGAAAGCAAAACCCGTCTCAAGAAAACAAAGAAAATATTAAGAGGGCTGCAGTGGTACCTTACTGGTAGATCACCTTCCTTACCTAGCATGCTTGAAGCTCAGGGATCCAACCCCAGCAATATACATATAATAATAGTGATAATGATAATAATTATAATGATAATAATAATTATAATAATAATAAAATTAGGTGGAAAACATAACAAATTTGGAATTATATAAAACTTGAATACCAACCAAAAATGCCATGATAAACTTGCCTATTTTGAAGAAAGGTAACCTAGTAATACCAGGACTTGTTTGTTTGGTACTAGGGATTAAACCTGGAGCCTTCACACCACGCTACATCCCCAGCCCTTTTTTTTATTTTGAGATAGAGTCTCACTAAGTTGCTAAAATGCCCAGACTGGCCCCAACTGAGGATCCTCCTACCTGAGCTTCTCACAAGTGCTAAGACCACAGGCATGTACTACCACACCCATCTGACACTTGGAACTTTCTAAAACTGCAGAATTTTAACATATTCAAATACCAGGCTAGGCTTGGTGCTGCACGTCTGTAATCCCAGCATTAGGGAGGCTAAGGCAGGAAGATTGCTGTGAGTTTCAGGCCAGCCTTCAAGTTTAAGGCCAGCCTGTACTACATAGCAAGACCCTGTCTCAAAAAAAAAAAAAAAACCAACAAAAAACCAAAGTTCACAAAGGAGCCATAACTACCTGTTTCCTCTATATTCAAGCTGACTAACTAGTGTTATCTACAAGTAGTTTTTCTCAACCCAACCTGCAGCTGATTCAAACATATTTGGAGGATGTGTTTGCATAAATAATAGCTCTAAGGCAGAGGATGTAGCTCAATGGTAGAATGTTTACCTAGCATGCATGAGGCCCTCGGTCTGATCACCAACAACACAAAATACTATTACTATTTCCATTACACCATGAAATATTTTTCTGATAAGATTATATCTTAAAAATTTTAAGTGACATGACAAAAACTACTTTTTTTAAAAAGCCATGTATAATTTATATTATCAGAAGTGTAAAATGAAAATTCTTTGTGAGGGGTGGTACTAGGGATCAAACCTTGAGCACTGCAACATAAATTACAAAGACATCATTTACATTCATGCATATATGCAACACACATAGTAAAAAATTGTAAGGAAGAGTCTCAATTTGTAAAAGAAAATGGTTAATAAGACCTAGTAAGGGAAAGAGACTAAGTAAAAGCAATTCAGTGTTATATTTACAACAAAAAACTGTGAAAGAGATTATTCAGAGAGAATATACCACATGTGAGCCAAAATGTTTAACCTTTTTTTCTTTTGGTTTTCTTTTTTGAGACTGGGTCTCAAATGAGGCCTTGAACTCACCATGTAGCCCAGGCTGACCATGAACTTGCAACGAGCAGCCTCCCGAGTGTTAGAGTTGCATGCATGAGTCACCACACTCCGTATATCTTTTTCTAATCCTAAGTAATTAGTTATTCCCACTTTACAGTAGAAAAATGAGATTAAGAGACTAATAAACAACTTGCCCAACTACAAGACCAATAAAGGACCAGGTTCAAACCTTCCAACCAGGATCAGGGCTATATTCCACCTACTATCCACAATGCCTTGCTCCATGTAGAGAAGAGCTGCCACCTTTTCCCCACCTTCATCCTACTAACTATGTGGTGCTTTCTATGTGTTACCTATGTAACAGACTTCAATAGGCTTGACCATTTTCTAATGACACTCCAGGTAACAGCAGGAAAATAAAATAAATCACAACTCATTTATACCACATTAACTTCATAATGCTCACAATCATTAAGAATGACACTGAATCTGGTATAATGGCACACACCTATAAACTCAGCAGTCTGGGAGGCTGAGGCAGGAGGACTGAAAATTCAAGCCCAGGACAACTTAGCAAAAGCCTCCATTTCAAAAGAAAAAAAAAAGAGATACGGATGCAAAGACCCTGGATTCAATCCCTAGTGCCACAAAAAGGGAAGGAATGGGGGAGAATAACATTAATGGCAGCTTACCGAGACCTAAGGCACAAATACCTATATTTATGCACAAATAACAATGAGTAAAATATATCCCATTCCTTTTCCACTTAAAAAAAAGAAGGTACAAGGGCTGGGGGAAAAAAACCATAATAAATAAATATAAAAAAGTAAGCCAGTCATAGACTTTGATGCTTTAGTAGTGAACTGTTGTTCAGTGCAAACTAACTGCAGTACTCCTCTAAAGAAGCAGACGCACCTAGTACGATTCTTGGTATGTCAAGAATCTGCTGCCATAAAATATGCCAAAGAAATTGGTCTTTGTACTTGAAAGAAGGCAAGAGTCAGAGAGAGCTTTAAAATGGAAGTGATGCCTCAGCTGTCTCTGAATAGTAACAGTATTTTCTGGGGATTACATTTCTTACAGAGGGAAAAGCACTTTTTTGCTTTTGAAACAGAAGGTACTTCAGTTTGCCTAGAGCAGCAGTAGCCAACTAATGGCACATGTGTTACTGTGTTTTTCTTTTGAGGCAAAAGATGTTAATGTATGAGTTTTTTTTTTAAACTAAAACATCAGTTTTCAGGTTTAATGGAACTGTTGGTACTCTGCACTAAATAAGTGGGTTTGGGGTTGCAGTTTGGGCACTCGGTCTCTAAAAGGTTCACCATTACGTCCTAGAGTATATGGTAAATAATCCAACAGATAAATCTTGGGAGCAAAGAACAGAGATAGGTCACAGATGACCTTGTGAGCCAGATACATAATTAAGAAAGATTAGCTGGACACTGTGGTGCACACCTATAATCCTAGCACTTGGGAGGCTGAGGCACAAGGATCACTGTGAGTTCAAGACCTGCCTGAAATACATAGCAAAACCCTGTCTCAAAGAAAAAAGAAAAGTGGCAAATTCAGGTAATAAAGTATCTAGTGGGAATGAAGATAGAAAATACATTGTAAGCTGTGCTAAAAAGTTGACCCTTCATTCTTTCCCAGGCATGAAGTTTTTTTAGTAAGGGAAAGACACGACTAGACTTGTGTTCTAGTGAGATGAGTCAGGCTGTACTTTGGGGATAAATCTGGAGGAAGGCAATAGGATGTAGAGACCACTAAACAGTTACTGGAAGAATTCAGACACAAGAGCATCAGCTAAACGGAAGACTTAAAAAAGATTTTTTCCCCAAAGGATCTGGTCTGAGGGAAGAGAATAATAGGTATGAGGGAAGAGAAAGTCCAGGAAGACTCAAAGGTTTCTAGCTCAGGAAATGGATAAACAATAGTTAAATGAATGCAACTTGAGATCGTACTCATCAGTGAAATAAATCAGACCCACATGTATAAACATCGCATTGTCTTCCTAGTGTAAGAAATTAAAAAAGAGTACATAAGATCCAAAATGTACAACAGATATTGTGAAAAGGGAAGAAACTGCTCAAAAGGAAAGAACTGGGATGGGGGAAAGGAGAAAAGAAGGGAAAAAAAAAAATGTATATATACACATACACAAGAAAGCTAAGATTGTATATTTTTTTTATTTTAAAAATAAAAGGAGGAAAACATTAACAGACAGATAACCTTTTACAAAATAGCAAAAGAACAGTACAGACAATACAGAGTTACAAAGTGGTACGAAATTAACAATGCTTGTCGTATTACATATTGATATCTTTAAAGTGGTTTTTCATGAAAACAGAGACATGCAATATTGATCAATCAAGGACTCACTGACAGTTTCTTTCAGCAAAGTAATTTCTATTAGTTCACTGAAAAGAAAGGTTTTTGCTTATATTGTTTGATCAATTTTTCATACCTGTATCTTATAATCTGAGCAACTACTTTGAAGATAACAATATGCAATGTATTAACCATTATTAATTTCCTATTATCTTGTTTTAAAATTTTGTATCATTATTTTTGTTTTTTCTCTTTAAAATAAAAAAAAAATTGAAGACAACAGTTAAGCATCAAAGGAGGCTGTAGAGGAGTGGATTTAGGAGGGAGAAAAGTTGATTTGCTAGTGGGAGCACCTGTAACAATTCACATCTAACAGGAAGTAAAGAACAAGTTTGGAGCCCATGAGAAATGAGCTACAAATACAAACTGGTCAGTAATGAGGACACAGGTAGATTTCAAATGCAGGATGCATAAGGTGATCACACAAGAGTAATCTATAGACAGAGAAGTCAAGTTTGGGTACCCAATCAACACTAAATTTAAGAACTTATAAAAGAGAATAAATATAAATAATCAGGAGAGAAGAAGATCACAGACACTGAAGGGGGTTTTTAAAAAGTATTGGCCAACTCACAGAATTGGTATGAGGCAGTTTTGGGGTTTTTGCCTTTTATGTCTGTAGGTGTTAGTGGGGATTGAACCCAGAGCCTTTGCACTAAGTTACATGCCCAGCCCTCTTTAATTTTTTTTATTTTGAAATTTATTTTATTTTTTATTTTATTTATTCACTAAATTATACAAGCTGACCTTAAACCTGCAATTCTTCCCATGCAGCTGGGAGTATAGCCATGCATCACTGCACCTGACTGAGTGAATTTTTTAAAGCCTCATAATAGCCAGGCACAGCAGCACATATATGCAATCCCAGCTACTCAGGGGATTGTGGCAGGACTGCAAAAATAGAAAGGGATGGGGACATGGCTAGAAGGTAAGAGGCTCTAGGTTCAATCCCTGCACCACACACACAAGAAGTCCACCGAAATCAGCATGTACGAAATCACTGGTAACCTTTGCTGGGGTAATTACAGCAGTGATAACAATGAGAAATGAGGTAATTACAGCAGTGATAACAATGAGAAATTTAAATGAGAAATGAGGAAATAGCCAGGCATGGTGGCACACGCCTATAATCCCAGCACTAAAATGCCTATAACTCCAACACTAAAACACCTATAGTCCCAGCAAATGGGAGAATCACAAAGAAGGATCACTGTGAGTTCCAGGCCAGCCTGAACTGCATAGTGAGAAAGAAAGAGAAAAAGAACCAAAAAAAAAAAAAAAAAAAAAGAAATGAAAATATGCAGATTGTCAACAAGAACAAAGTAACAGCTAATAATTACAAAGTTCTTACTTTGGGTCAGAGGTGATTCTGGTATATTAGCTCATTGAATTTACTTTTAAAAAAAATTCCATGTTTACTTCAAATGTTTTTAAATCTCCAGGTTAAAAAAACTTCCATTGCTTTCTTGGTTTTACAAGCACCCTTGTCATCCACCCAATGCCAGCAGCATTCCTCCCTCCCAGATGTGACAACAAAAATGTATCAGCCATTGCCAATTGACCCCAAAGGAGTAAAACTGTCCCTGGTTGGGAATCACTAGGTTAAAGTCAGACACCATGGAGAAAGCAACCTCTGAAGGACAGAACAGGACTAAATGTGTAAACAATGCTGCATACAAAGTGCCAATAACTTTGCTTTGCTACCTGTCAAACAAAAAATTACCTTTATATCTGGATCCAACAGCTGCTTCTTCAACAACTCAAAGTCATTTGTTTCACCCTGAACAAGAAGCGGGGTGGTGATTAACTTATGTTTGCTGTGATTTCCTGTTTAACATCAACAGCACGATTTTTCTTTTTGGAGACAAGGTCTCACTCTGTAATTCAAGTTGAACTCACTATGCAGCCCAGGCTAGCCTTGAACTTGCAGTGATTCTCTTGCCTCAGCATCCCGAGTGCTGAACAGTAGGACTTCTAATTATACCTTAACGTCTAATGAAATTGCAGAAGGAATTCTGTAACTTTCACACATCCCTTGTAATTATAAAATCATGAGTACAAAATTTTAAATTCATATTAATGGAGCCAGGGGTGTTGGGGGAAAATACCATTCATATTTAGCTATAGTTGTACACTGACATTTAAATATAGTTGATATTCCTTTTTATTGCCCCCCAAGCAGTACTAGGGATCAAACTTAAAGAGATTTCACACTAGCTACACTACACCCCAGCTCTTTTTTAGTGTGCTACCACACTTGACTTCAACTCATTTTCTTATGAATACTGGTCTTTCCTTTGTACTTTATTATTATTATTATTATTATTATTATTATT